GAGACAATGCTGGAGGCACACTCCTGCCCATTTGGGACTACCCCCCTCGAACTCCCCCTAGTTTCATTTTTTCTGACTAACGGATCGCACGATACGCGCGCTTTCCGTCACCTGCTTGGCGTAGGGACGGAAAGCGCGGGTTCTGTCTGTGAGGGCGCGAAGTCGTTGGCTAGTGTCTTGGAGCCCTGCTGGTGTGAAGGCTTTCGTACGACATACAAACATCTTACAAAAAGGCTTGCGAAAATCCATGAATATTGCATTTCCGGGCCTTCCTGGGGATCCGTTTGGGGCTCTTTGGGGCCGTCTTGGGACCCTTTTGGGCCGTCCTGGGACCCTCTTGGGTCGTCTTGGCGGGCGTGGCCCGTCTTGGGGCTCTCTGGGGGCGCTCTTATGGACCTCCTGTGGCATCCTGTTGCCCTCTTGGGGCTCTCTTGGGAACCTTGCGGCCCCTTTGGGGCCCGTCTCGGGCCGTCTTGGAGCTCTCTTCGGCCGTCCTGGAGGCCGTTTGGGCCGTCTTGAAGCGCTCTTTGGGGCCTCTCAGGCCGTCCTAGGGCGGTATTGGGAGCCTCTTGGGCCACCTTGAACACCGTGAATACCAAAGAAGCCAATATTCAAAAAATGCAAGGTTCCCTATGGAAGTGGGGCGATGTTTGCCTCTCGGGGGTCCCCTTTGGGAGCCTCTTGGGGCGTCTTGGGGGTCTCTTGGGCTGTGGTAGCCATATTGGGCCCTCTTGGAGCGCTCTTGGGCAGTCTTGGGGCCCTCTTGGACCTCTCCGGCGCCGTCTTGGGCGCTCTTGGGGCTGTCTTGGGCCGTCTTGGGGGCCTCTCAGGCGCTCTTGGGGCTGACTTGGGCAGTCTTGGGCCGAGAGGGGCCGACATTTAGGCGAAACCTTAATTTTGGGGCTCCCGATAAGGCCATTAGAGGAGCTTACGCGCTTACGCGGAGCTTACGCGGAGCTCACGCACCCGTTAACAGGGAATTCCATGTTAACGAGGCCCTGACCCCGCTCAGGCACCCGTTAACAGGGAACTTACATGGAATATCATGTTAACGAGGCCCTGACCCCGCTCGGGCACCCGCTAACAAAGAAGTCCGTGCAATTTCCCTGTTAACGGGTGCCTGAGTCAGCTCAAGCACCCGCCTTTCCATGTTAAAGGCTCCGTTAACAGTGAAAAAAAGGCTATTCAATCTGGGGCTACAAATGCCACCCCTTCAAACTGCCCCAAATTTCATTCCTTCCGGCTAACGCACCGCACGCTACGCGCGATTTCCGTCATCTGGGCCTACGGCTGCCGACCCCCCATACCCCCCTTGTTATTACTCCCGACTAACGGATCGCGACGCTACGCGCGCTTTCCGTCATCTGGGCGTGCGGCTGCCTACCCCCCACCCCCCCTTGTTATTTTCCCGACTGACGGGCCGCGACGCTACGCGCGCTTTCCGTCATCTGGGCGTGGGGCTGCCTACCCCCCACCCCCCCTTGTTATTTTCCCGACTAACCGATCGCGACGCTACGCACGCTTTCCGTCATCTGGGTGCGGGGCTGCCTACCCCCCCACCCCCACCCCTTGCTATGTCTCCCGACTAACGAATCGCGACGCTACGCGCGCTTTCCGTCATCTGGCGGTCGGTCTGCATACCCCCCCCCACACACCCCCTTGTTATTTCTCCGGACTAACGGATCGCGACGCTGCGCGCGCTTTCCATCATCCGCCGCCCCCTGTTGGCTTGCCAATAGGTGCCTGGCGTGCTAAATCCTACCGCTCGTGGTTTGGGTCTTCCAAAGAAATCTCCCTGGGGCTTCGACCCGTCCCGCTGGCCCCCCGAAAGCCCGCACAAGGCCCGGAATTCTCAGATTGTGTTCCCCAAGATAGCTCAAGATGGCTTTCAACACCGCCAAGATGGCCCAAGCTGGCTCCCAAGATGCCTCCAAGATGTCCAAGATGGCCTCCAAGACGACCCTAGATGGTCCAACATACTTCCAAGTCCGCCCAAGAAGCCTCCAAGACGGCCCAAGACGGCCCAAGAGGCCTCCGAGAGGTCCTCCAGGAGGGCCCGAAGAGGCTAAAATCATTGACTTGCCCTAGGTGTTTGAAGGACTTTCGTATTTACCCCTTGTCGGCCTTCCGACTGCCCAAGACGGCCCAGGAGGCACCCAAGATCGCCCCCTAAGCGCCCAAGAGGCCTCCAAGATCGCCCCAGAACGGCCCAAGAGGCCCCCAAGACGTCCCCAAGAGGGCCCCAAGGCGGCCCAAGAGGCCCTTAAGACGCCCAAGGAAGCCTCTAAAACGGCCTTGGAGCACCCCACGAGGGCCCCAAGTCGGCCCAGAGAGGCCCCCAAGACGGCTTCCGACGGCGTCAGACGGGCCAGGAGCCCACCAAGACGGCCCAAGATGCCTCCAAGAGGGCCTCCAGGAAGGCCCGAAGAGGCCAAAATCATTGGTCCTAGGTGTTTGAAGGATTGTAGCATTTGATTCGCTTCGGCCTTTCGACGGCCCAAGGCGGCCCAAGAGGCCCCAAAGATCGCCCCCTGAGCGCCCAAGAGGCCTCCAAGATCGCCCCAGAACGGCCCAAGAGACCCCCAAGACGGCCCCGAGGGCCAAAAGACGGCCACAAGAGGGCCCCAAGACGGCCCCAAGAGGCCTCTAAGATGTCCAAGGAAGCCTCCAGGACGGCCCTGGAGCACCCCACGAGGGCCCCAAGTCGGCCCAGAGAGGCCCCCAAGACGGCTTCCGACGGCGTTAGACGGACCAGGAACCCACCAAGACGGCCCAAGATGGCTCTAAGACGGCCCAAGACGGCCCAAGAGGGCTTCAAGAGGGCCTCCAGAAGGCCCGAAGAAGCCAAAATCATTGATTTGCCTTAGGTGATTGAAAGATTGTGGCTCAAGGCGCTAAGGCGCCGTTACAAACAATTTGTCCCGCGACACTTCCCGCCATACCTCTGCATGCCCTTACTTCCACTGTTACCACCACGCCACTTTCCCCTTTCCCCTTCCCATATCTTGCGATGGCAGGTGCGGGCACGCGAGCGCCAGGGACACTGGTCCGAGGAGTTCTTGAACACGACGTCCGCCAGCGTTTGTTCAGCCCGCTCCACAAAATGGATGGGCTGGACGACCTCAGCTCTCCAACCTGGCCGGAGGTGCATCAGATACCTTCGCTGGTGGCCCCGACCACTCCCGCAGAAGATCATGCAGTGCCACGGCCTCAACAGCATCAACATCCTCCAACTCTACAGGAAATCGCGGCCATCATCCGCCAGGAGGTTCAGCCGATCAACACCACCATCGAGAACTTCGACAAGCGCCTGAAGGAGATGAGTGGGAAGTTCGACGACAGGTTTGGGGAGGTGGAGAGTCACATGGAGGACATCGACATCCGCCTCACGAACCTGGAGAACATGTGTGAGCATGCAGGCGGCTCACCAGCTCCCCCCGCAGCATCAACACACAGGTCTGGGACCACATCTTGGCGTTGCAGGTGGAGATCGAGCAATTAAAGGGCATCACATCCGGCACAGACAAGAGCCAGGACAAAGAGCTGACCGCAGTGATTGGTGGACTGCAGTCGCTCTCAGGTCTGGACGAGGCCCGAGACTGGCTCAAGAATAAGCTTTGGGAGTCCTACGCGCCACAGCCGGAAGACGTCTACATCAAGGGCGAGTTTCACGGAATGATTTTGCGAAGTTTTGGGACCAGACCGGCAGGGGCACAGCAATGCAGACTCTGAGGACGAAAGCCTTCAAGGAAGGCGGCAAGACTGTCTGGGCTAACCGGACAAGGCTCTGCCTCAGAGGGTCTTAAATTCGTATGTCTTTGGTGCTGAATACATGCTGAAGGAGTGGGGCTACACCAACGTCGTATGGGCCGATCCCGAGGAGGGAAAGGTGTGGGTCGGCGACGACGTCGCGATTCAAGTGTCCATCGACAGTGGCACGCTGAAGGTCGAGTACGGCGCCAGCTGGGAGGAATGGCTCACTCATGCCGATTTCCCCAGGTTCCCGCAAATGGTACAGAAGCTACGGAACAAGCTCGACCAGCATCCAGACAAAGGTGTAGGCAAGGGCGGCTCCAAAGGGAAACACAAGGGGAAAGGCTCTGGCCGCCATTCCAAGTAGGGGTGCCGGCGGCCCGCGAGCAGGACAGTTTCACAACAGAGCCGTGGAGATCTTGGGCCTCCTTTTGAAAGTCCCCATGGCGAACAACGACTTTCTGCGGACAGCCAGAGAGTTGGCTTAGCCAGTCTGCCATTGTCTGCTGCGCGAGGTGGCCGTTTGCGCCTGGCGCCAAGCGAACTTACCATTGCAAATTGGAAAAGCGGATACACGGACTGCAAGCAAATAGAGTTAGAACGTATCATGAAAGATATGGGTATCATGATCCTGTGCATCCAGGACACTTGGATTCCGAAATCGAACGTTTTCGTATCTGATGCCGGTTAGTTGGTTATACAATCAGGCGACCAGGACAATTCCACAGAGAAGGTTGGGGTGGGATTTCTCGTGGCACCCGCCGCCAGGAGTTGCGTCGTGGGCTTCTGCCAGGCGTCCTCAAGGATGGCTTCGCTAAAAACCCGGATGCCTGGAGGCAAGGCCGTTCTCTTCTCGGCGCACACAGCCACAAGGAGAACCAGGAGCGCCAAGAGTTCTACCACGACTTGGCAGATTGCGTCGAGGCTCGGTCGGCACATGGCCCTAAGATTATCTTAGGTGACTTCAATGCAAGGCTGCACGAACGAACGGGGGATGAGGAGGATTCCATTGTCGGCCCGCACATATTCCAGCACCCAGATGCCAGCGTCAAGCCGGACGCAAACGGGTTCTTGTTGTCAGAGACCTGCGAGCGGCTGCGCATGTGCATTGCCAACACTTTCTTCGAGAGATCGCAGGAGGACCTCGTGACATGCTGCAACGTCGGGTGCCCTCTTGGGTGCGCCGTGAGCGCATCAACGCACTCACAGATCGATTTCGTAGTCTGCGACCAGGACTGGCTCCGAAGGTCAACGACGTGCAGGTACGCCGCGAGGTGCCGCTTGCCTCGCACCACTTCTTGAAGGTGGCTCGGTTGCACGTGGCCGTCGACAAGGTGTCGAAGGATCGTAGACCGCCCGAGCTCGACGTGCAGCAGCTGAACGAGGAAAGCACGCAGCTAATTTTCCGGCAGCATTCCTCGAGCTCCCCAGAAGATATAGACGAACAAGACAATGAGCAGCATAATGTGAACATCGCGTGGCGCGGGCTTGTCGACGCGTTCGAGCACGCGGCATTCCAAACCTTGCCAGAGAAGCCGATTGCTGCACGGAGGCCGTGGGTGACAGAGAGCACCCTGCAGCTGATCTCCCGTCGAGGGGAGGCGCGGCGGTCGAGAGACACCGTTGCAGAGCGAAACCTCGCTAAATCCGTACGAAAATCTGTGGCGCGGGACCGCGCGAACAGGCTCGAGAAGCTCACTGCAGACGGCAGCTGTGGCGAGGTGCGGAAACTACGGAAGGGATATTGTCCGCAGCAAGGACGCCTCTGGGACGCTGCCGGCGCTCTGGTGGACAGCGACGCCAAGGCCGAGACACTGGCCAAGCACCTGGAAACGGTGCAATGGGCAGTAAGGCCCACGTCAGTGCTGTCCGACGAGAGATCAATTCACGAAGAGCTCCTCGTGCTACTCGGACTTATCACCGAAGTCGAAGTCCGCCAGGCGGCCAAGCGGTTGCGCGGTGGAAAAGCAGCTGGGAGGGACAAGCTTCCCCCAGAATTCTGGAAGCCAGCTGTTGGAGATGGCGAGACAGCGCTGTCGTGGATCAGAGCTTTCTGCAACAATGTATGGACGCAGGCGAGCGTGCGAGACGCCTGGAGGAAAACCGAAGTTCGCGTGATCTACAAGAAAGGCGATCCGGCGTCGTGCGACGACTACAGACCCATGTGTCTACTCCCCATCGGCTACAAAGTGTTTGCTGCGATATTGCCGGGCCGTCTGGCGGACGCTCTGGCGCCGAATCCAAGAGTTGGAAAACGCAATCCGGTTTCCGCTCCGGCAGGGGGACGGTCAACGCCATCTTCTTTGCAAGACGGGTGATAGAGGACGCGTGGGTAACCAGAGACGGAAAGGTCCTGCTGCTCGCATTAGATTGGACCAAAGCATTCGATCCGATTTTGCCGACGGCGCTGGCGGCCTCTCTGGGAAGATTTGGATTGCCTGACCACTTCGTGCGCGTCGTGGCCTCCATTTACCAGGACCGCACTTTCGTCGTGAGCGAATTTGACGAGACGTCTGCCGAGCACTCCCAAAGCTATGGCAGTTGTCCAGGGTGCAAACTCTCCCCTTTTCTCTTCACGATCGTGATGACCACCCTCCCAACGGATGCGCACAAGATGTGGCACACGAACATGGAGAGCTGCCGGGGGAGAATTTCGTGAGAGAACTTGTCTTCGCAGATGACACCCTATTGCTTGACAGCCACCCTCGCGTCGTGCAGGCGCTCATGAATGCTGTCGAGACCAGCGGGATGCACCACGGTCTCAAGTTCAATTGGCAAAAAAAGGAGCTATTGAGGGTGAGGTCTGGCGCCAACATTCTGAACGCTTCAGGCGTCCCGGTGGCTTGCAAAAGTTCCGTCGCGTACTTGGGCACCCGTCTGCAGACGCGGCAGAATTGGGCCTGAGCTGAGTAGTCGTATAGGGGCAGCAGGGCAGGATCTTAAAGTCTTGAACGCCATTTGGGCGCATTCCTCTCTTAGCCCGATTCGCAAGCTGAGAATGTTCCTTGCGTGCATTGTGCCAAAATGAGTGTATATATATATATATATATATATATATCCTTTTTGCTAATAAATGTGAACGCAGACGATTAGACGGATTCCACGCCCGTTGCCTGCGGAAACTCTACCGCGTGCCGCCGGCGTATGTCAGCCGAGTCTCCAACGCCGCATTTTATACCATGGCCGGACAGAGGCCGTTGAGCGACAATCTGATGAAACGACGGATGCTCTTCATGGGGCAACTCGCAAGACGTCCGGATGCAGATCCTGTGCGACGCTCGGTTTTCGAGCCGGCCGGATTTGATCTCCGAACCCCATCAGGGCCACGCAGGAGAGGACGCCCAAAACAAGCTTGGGGCAACATGGTCATTTGCAATTGTCCGTCCGTGGCTGGCTCCCGAGAGGCCTTGTCTGCATTCTTCTGCCGCGACGGCAGAGCAGCGGCCTCATGGGAGTCGGCAGTAAAGAAATGGCACCAGCTGTAAATAGTGCTGCATTTCGACACTAGATATCTCCTGTCTCACCCTGCTCGCGCGCCGTCCGGCGCAAGGCTGACGTTCGTTCGCTCGGCCTTCCGACGGCCCGAGACGGCCCAAGAGGCCCCAAAGATCGGCCCAAGATCGCCAAGAGGCCTCCAAGATGGCCCTAGAACGGCCCAAGAGGCCCCCAAGACGGCCCCAAGAGGGCCCCAAGACGGCCCAAGAGGCCTCGAAGACGCCCAAGATGGCCTCCAAGACGGCCCTGGAGCACCCCACGAGGGCCACAAGTCGGCCCAGAGAGGCCCCCAAGACGGCTTCCGACGGCATCAGACGGGCCAGAAGCCCACCAAAACGGCCAAAGAGTCCCCCGAGAAGCCCCCAAAGGCCCCCAAGAGGCCCAAGGAGGCCCTCAAGATGCCTCCACGAGGCTCCCAAGAAGCTCCCAGGAGGCACCAAGAGTGCCCCACAGGCTCCCAAGATGCCCCCTCCTCCATCTTCTCCTCCTCCTCATCCTGCTCCTCCTCCACCTCCTCCACCTCCTCCTGATCTTCCCCGCCATCCTCCCCCAAGTATTCCCCGAAGGGTTTCCACAACGGTTGGGGGAACACATGGTCCGATAGCTTGGCAGAGCTCTTGCCATAACGCTCGGCTACATGGGCGATTCTAGAAGGCAGTGGGCGGCGGTGCTTCGCCGTGGGCGTCTCCGATAGTTAATGCTTTGCTACACAGGGATACTGGCCGTAAACACAAACGCTGCATGATAAGATCATGCAATCTACATGGTCGACACGGCTACTTGTTCGCATTCTGAAAGCCAGGTACGGCACGGCACGGCAACTCTCTCGCGTTCCTAAAAACACATGGAGAACAAGGCACGGAAACACGTTTGCAATCTGAAGGCCAAGCACGGCACGGCACGGCACGACATGATAACATTCGTCGGATTATGAAGACCCGGCACAGCACGGCACGGCAACTGTTTCGCATTATGAAAACCAGGCACGGCACTGCAGGGCAAGGCAACTGTCCCGCATTCCGAGAACTTAGCACGACCTCCTCCTCCTCCTCCTCCTCCTCCTCCTCCTCCTCCTCCTCCTCCTCCTCTTCGCTCTCATCCTCCCCCTCATCCTCATCACCGTGGTCACCATCATCATCATCATCATCACCACCACCACCATCATCATCATCATCAGTATTAGCATCATATTCATCATCAGCATCATCATGATGGTCAGCATCAGCATGACGATCGGCGCCAGCATCCTCAGTATTGGTATTGTGACGGCCCTCCCATTCCTGATCCAGGTCATGCTCCCTTGCCTCGTCATCCCTCCTCCTCCTGCTTCCCCTCCTCTTCTGCTCTGCAACTCGACCAGCGGGCGCCCAATAAACCATCGACGTATACGATGTCGATGTTCCAACAAGTACATAAACCACTTGGATGAGTGCTGAGGAGTCAGGGTGGGAGAGAAGTCCGGGTGCCGATAAGTGCTGCACCTTGGCTCCTCATAGACTCCTTTTGCTTCTCCATTCCTCCTCCTCCTCCTCCTCCTCCACCTCCATGTTCTCTTCCTCCTACTCCTCATTCTCCTCCCTCCACCCTCCCCCTCTCCCTGCCCCCACCCCACTCTATCCTCCCCCCGCCTCATCCTCCCATTCCTCCCCATTTCTCATGCTCTCCCTCTTTCCCCTTCTTACTCCTTCTACTCGTATTCCCCCCCTTATCCTGCCGCACCCGCCACCACTCTCCCTCCCCTGTCTGCCCCCCTCTCGTTCTCGTCCTCCTGCTGTCGCAGGCGTCGATCCTCCCAGTGGACGTCCTTCTAAGCTCCCCGGTCTGATCCTCGAGAGCGGGGTCGAACCTCCGCTTCCCCACTCGAGGTATCAGGAGGCGGATGGGGAGAGAGGAGGAGTGGGGAGGGGAGGGGGAGGGCGAGGAGGAGGGGTTTCTGGCTGAGCCTTCATTGTATCCTCTGTGGACTTCCGCAGCCCCATCATAAACATGATGTTGACCAGATTTCGTTCAAATGTCGACCACCCCTCCTCACCCCGTCGTCCAGATTTCCGCCAGTTTTCATGCAGATCCATATATGACAAAAACTGGACCAACTCTTCAAAACTGCTGATGCTTCCATGAAGGGCCACACAAGGGCTTGGGGAGGAAAGGAAGGGGAGGGGGAGGGAGGTGAAGACGCCAAGAATCCCAGGTGTACTCCGAACCGTTCCACTGGCTTCTCTAACGACTTCCGAATGGAGGACTTAAGGGGCTGGGAAGAAGAGAGGGAGGAGGAAGGAAGGATAGCAGGGAGGGGAGGGGAGAAGGGAGAAGTGAGAAGAGATGGCGGAAGAGCATGGGCGGAGGGAGGATGGGAGGAGACAGGCGGCACTTGGTCACAAAAGTTTGCTGTGCGCTCGGGGCCCGCGTCCCCGACGTGCTCCTGCGGCGCCAGAGACCGACTTCACCGAGTGAGGTTTTGACCCGAAGCGCGTGACCGAGAGCCCAGGCGCGACACGTCGCCCTGGCACGAGGAGTCGCCACGCGGAGACGCGCGTGTCTAAGAGAAGCCGGCTGCCATAGGACGGCAAGGTGCCGACTCGCGACATGACCTCGGTGTGCGGAAGGCGTGGGCTCGGTTCCGCGGAGACAGAAAAAAGAGAGAGAGAGAGAGCGAGAGCGACAGCGAGAGCGAGATGGAGAGGGAGAGGGAGAGCGAGAGAGGGACAGACATACTGACTGACTGACTGACTGACTGACTGACTCACTGACTCACTGACTCACTGACTGACTCACTGACTGACGGACGGAAGAACGGACGGACAGACAGACATAGAGACAGACAGACAGACACGGAGAGAAAGAGCGGAGGGAGAGATGAGCGGGGAAGGGGTGCAATAGAAGCACGAATGCAAAACGTGTGCACATCGGCACTGTAGGCCTTCGGATAATCGAAGATGGCAGGACCGCCACACCTGCATTTGCGACTTGGCATCTGCATGGGCCTCTGCTCAAGCAGAGCCCAGAAGGCGTGGCGGCCCACTGATCGCTCCCTGCCGGCTGGCTCCAGCCTGCACG